CTCCCCTGTCAAGGCATTCGCAAACAAAATCCAATTCTATTTAAAAACGAATGGAAGAACTCACTGGCCTCGGTGAGCTCCCGAGCCTCACGCTTCAGGCACCCTGTAAGACATGCGAGTTTTAACTGAAAATGTCCATATGCCCTTGCTCTGCCAAAAAAATAGGATCCCAGGATAAACCGCAGGTCTAGAAAAGAAAGGTTTTTCCTCATGGAAAAACCAATGTACTTAAAGGTCCTTGTGGTATTTTGTGATCCCACAGCCTGGGGTGTTTTGCAGCTTTACTGCACAAGTATTTGCTTCGTGTTTTTAAGGCTTTGCTACATCTGTTCCTTCCTCGTTTTCTTCGTTCTGGCCGATAACTTATTTTTTTGTTTTTCATTGCTAGAGAAATGCCAAATAACACTTGCTGACTTACTTGATTCGTTGCCAATATTTATTTCAAACTGATAGACCGCAGTGAAAAGTCACTGCAATATTAACAGCTGTAATGGTATGAAAAAAATCATCACTGGAAAAACAGACTAGCAGGAGATTCAAACCGTAAAATAAAGCTAGTACTGCTCATCCTGACTCAGAAAATATGTGTGTATATATTCTGAAATATTTGATCTTGCAAATTTTTTTTGCAATAATTTTAAGACAAGTTTCAGTAAGGCTGAAATTGTCACAGTCAGTATTACTTGTTTGCACACAACTTGTTTTCTTGACACAGAGTGGTACCATGTATAAAATCATGTGCCAAATATTTTTAGCTTATGCTTCTGAATTTCACCTAACTTTCCCCTCCTTTTTTTCCCCCGTACACAAGCATGAAAGTGAAGGCTGAGAAAGAGAGTCTGTCTTAAGGAGAACTAAATACAATTTACGCACTTGGAGCTATAAACCAATTACAAACTGATTTTCTTAACTTGTGTTTTCTTGGGGAAGGAGACAAATTAGCTTTATGCCAAAGATTTTTATGCTTTCCTCCACTAACACTTTACATGCACTATCATTATAGCCCTGTTTTCAGAGAAAAGGTCTTTTCTGCCAAGCCTCCCAAGTCATCCTGCCTTCTAGGGACGGAGAGACCTTTGGTAGCACTTCCAAAACTGGAAATTAAACCTAGAGCCATCATAGGCACTCCACATTGTTACTTCTATTCCATGGGACTGATATGTTTTATTTGTGACTATGCAATTTCCTGAGTAGATAACTTACTACTGAGGTTAGACTAAATGTTTCTAATGATCATTTTCAGCCTTGAAATCTCTGTTTGTGACTTTCACCTCTCCTTGGCCTTTAAGTTTTCCATCATTTTTGTTTATTTTTGCAGATACCAGTATGACAACTGATTTTAGCCGGACAAATCTAGACTCCTGGATATGTTGTTTATCTAGCTATTTTCGTTTTTTCTTTTTTTAGATGATCACATGTGAAAAGACAGGCACATAAATTCTGCAAAACTATAAAATGAATACTATGACAGACTATGTGATGAGCTTTAAAAACAGCCTTTTCAAGTATTAAAAGTTACTGTAAGAGTATGTGCATTTGAGGATAGCTGGTAAGAAAAGCTGAAGAAGCAAAATTCTGTCTCTTTCTCCATCTTTCTTTTAAATTCTTTTTCTTTTTAATACTGTTACAGTTCCTGGGCAATTGTTGCAGTTGGATTGCTGGTTCTGGTTTTTATTGCTCTGTTGGCTCGTGTTCTTGTCAAAAGAAAACCTCCAAAAGACCCGCTGTTTTATGGTATGTCTTGGTAACAATGAAGCATAAGAAAGTTCAAACCACCCTAACTCCTAGCTCAGGCTTTCTGTAGACTCAGGCAAACACTTCTATATTGCTACTTTGCCATAAAATAATAGAGCTATTTATTACCTTTTAAAAGGAAACCTTAGATCTAGACCGTATAGCAAAAATCTAGTAGAAAAAACACCACTGTTTTTGGAAATTTTACAAGATGGGCCCATAGGCAAAGCAGCATACAAACCATCTGTATTTGCCCTCTGTCTTCCTCCTCATTGCAACTCGTAGATGTCCATTCCCAGTGTTCTGTGTGAGGCCGGGAACTCTTAGTTCACATTGAAGTCAAAGGAAATTAATAATATAAACCTACTGCAAATACATTTCCTGTCTCAAAGGAGTGACTTGCTAACTTGCCATATAAGTCTCCTATGGACTGCTGTGGCTTAATGCAGTTTGCCTTGCCTACCTCCAAAAAGGGCAAGTCACATTTCTCTCTCCGCCTCCTTTTTGTTGTCCTTTGTCCTTTCCAAGAGATGACTACGGTCAAGGTTGTCTGCTTTGTGTAACCAAGATTTTTGAGAGGCTACGTAGTCCTTTCTGCAGATGCTGGTTTTCCATGTAGCCTGTACCCACAGCTCTACATAATTACACATTCTTAAGAAAAGCTTCCTAAGGACTTTGTTGACTAACCACTAATTAAAAAATATTAAGCTATGTAGGAAAGTCATTATGTGTTAAATATCTAAGATCTCAAAGTAGATGCATCTAGTTCAATAGGTCTCTGCCTGACTGAATTTATTGGACTGTGAAGTAACTGTGTGATTCCAAGTCTTTATTAATTTATTATTTGTTTTCCCCTTTATCTTATTACAGTTTATGCTGTATTTGCCTTTACCAGCGTGGTAAATCTAATAATTGGACTGGAACAGGATGGAATTATTGATGGATTCATGACTCATTACTTGAGAGAGGTAAACAATTGTTTGGCTTACAAATGTAAACAAAACCTTTACTATAAATAGCTTGTTACAGAAAAAACAGCCGCTAACACATTGAAAAGGGTCATCTTGAATTTGGTCATAGACCTGTTTCGTTATTGCTATGGACCGAACCTTCACTGACTTGAAATCACTGATTCATTTGGAAAAAATAGCATGCCTTTCAAGTTCCACTATTATTTCATTTAGTTGAAGGAATGCCTTAATGAATTAACTTCTGTGGGAACTGCATAGAATTACAGAAAGCCATAGATACTCAGCACTCAGAAGTTTACTGCAGAAGAGTACTGCAGTACCTAAATGTGTTACCAAGAAGGAAACAAAACTGCTCCTTTATTTTTGCCTAATCACTTTACTAAAAGGAATTAGAGTTAAAAAATGCTGATGCCAGATACCTAGTCAGCAGAATCTGTTGGCTGCTGAATATCAACATCCACCAAAAATAGCTCAGTAAGGGCTTCTCATGAAAGTCACTGAAGTCATTGAAAAGATTCCATGAACTTTAGTGTGAAATTAATCGGACCTTACAAGGTTATACCTTGTCATCAATATATTCAATGCTGTTGTAAATCTCTAGGTTACTAAATATATGTCTATTTGTTCTACGTTAAATGTATCTTTATTTTGGGCTTTTATCACTAAAATATGGAAAACTAGTATTTCCATAATGTAGCAGGACAATGCTGACAGTTATCCATAGGAGTTTTGCCTTCCATCTTGCATTCTATTTTGCAACTATAGAACTGATTTAATTTTACCTGATCCTACCTAAATCAGGTTTGTGCTTGGAAATGTGTATTGCCAGTCAAAAACTGTACCCCTGGATTTGAAAGAACACCAGTTGCTTTTCTGAAATTGTTTCCTGCTGTTCTTATTCTTCCTCTAATCACTGTATCTTTTTAAAAATAAATACTCCCTAGGGTGAACCATATCTGAACACTGCCTATGGCCATGTGATCTGCTATTGGGATGGCTCCGTTCATTATCTGATGTATCTGTTGATGGTGGCAGCTATTGCATGGGAGTAAGTAATTTTGATTTGTGTACTGTCTACTTTGCTTGCATTCTCGTATAACCTACAAAGGGCTTTCTTTTCTCTGTAGTATTTACATTTTTCTTTCAGGACTGTTTCATGTCCTAGGCCAAAGCAACACTATTAAAATTTAATAACCTCACCAAGTTACCCTTTCTCTTGGCTGAATAAGACCAGCAAAGCCACTGAGTTGTAGTCTCTCTTTACTCTGCAGCAGAGAACATAGCCCCTTTGAATGCTTTATGTTAGTTAAAATGAAAGCTTAAAGAGGATGCACATTAAAACCATGTGTAAAACCTTTTTTTTAATTACATATTTAAAACATCTATTTTAGAGAGTATCATGCAGTTTAAGAGAAAATAGTTATTTCTGGAGTTTCTTAGAGTATTTCTTATGTTTCTCACTGTTGAATAAAGAGTTTGAGAAAATAAGTACTTAAATTCCAGAGGCTAATGTTCCCACTGGTAATAGAAACACTACCAGAATGAAATCAAGTGTACCGGTCTTGTACAACCTGTGATGTGCAAAATCAGTCAGCCTTCAGATGAGCAAAACATAATGGCAAATAACTACGTATGCACAAATCCTGTACTGTTCATGTGATAACCTCACACATGAACATAGGATTTCTCCATATCACTTTCTCAGAGGAAGAATCCACTGCTGCCTTGGGGTACTTTACTTACTAAGGTACAACCATGGCAATCAGTATAATATTTGAGGGTGATTTGGGGTAGGAGATTTTTAGGGATGGTGCAGTAATTATGTCTTTTTTTTTTTTTTCCTTTTTTTAAACAGACAAAGCTATAGAACCATTGGCCTCTACTGGCTAGGTTCCATTATCATGAGTATCATTGTCTTTATGCCTGGAAACATTGTAGGTAAGGACATAAATTATGTGATTAACTTTTCCCTGTGAAACATTTTCTAAATTCAGCATTAGGCTATCTGTATTTTACTGCAGTGTTGGTTTCTTTCTGTAATAATATGAAAGAGGAATTTTAGGAGTATCAGTAAAGAGATGCAAGATATTTCAAAATTTAAATATCAGGAGGGGATGATGGAGACCAGGATAAAAACACACTTTCAATTTACATTGTTCTCAAGGAAGAAAAAAAAAAGTATTGTATTTTGTTATACCCATCAGGCTTTTATCCAAACTAGGTTTAATTTAAGCAATGAGACAATAACTGTCGCTTAGTATCATAAAAAAAAAATCTTATTTTGCATAAAATTTACAGTTTACTTAATAGTCTGACTTTCAAGCAGCTTACAAGAGGCATCCAAATCACCTTTAAAAGTGAAATCTGGAAGTTACTATATTTTCAAAATAAAATTAACATTCATAGATTTTAACATAAATGAGTGCACAGCTGTGCTGCTAGAGGTTGTAATAAAAATTTTTACATCATTATTATTGAAAGGTGGTCCTTTAAGAGTGCCACCCCCCCAGTTAAAGATTTCCTTTTTAGCAAAGCTTAAATTGATGCAAAGTCGCCAAGTGTTCAACTGAGAAAAACATTCATGTGTCAAAATCCTGCAGACAACTTTAGAAAAGCTCACTATGGCTCCACTTTATATGCCAGAGGAAGAATATTCATGGTGCAGCTTGAAGCCAGTCCAGTTCCAGCAGATTAATGCAACAATCTCTCTTCCTCTTTCCTCTAGGGAGGGCTGAAAAACTTTTTCTCAAGAGCATGCCTTCTGCCTTCCTTTCTGGCATAAAGATTAGCCAGTGTAAAAGACAGTTTTTCCTGATTTACCTGGGCTAAGGATAGCTCCCTGAATTTATATTTTGTCCTCAAATATTAGTACAGGCCTGTAGGAAAAATGAGCACTTTGGAAAATGCATGTTATATTAGATCTTTAAAAAATGGATACATTCCTTTTTTCCATTTTTTTTTAAAAATGATGCCTCTATTTGAAGCAGGTTCCATTAAGAGATTTCAAAGCTGTCCCATCCTATAAGATTACCTGCTATAGAGTGACAGAGATGGTTTCCTGTCCCCTCAAAAACCCCCTTATTTCTGAAATGGCTTCCTGATAGGCTCTCTATCACCTGTGACTTTACCACTATTGAGCACATTATTTTCAATAAGATTTCTGTGTTGCTTTAACAGCAATTTCTAATGGTTTATGTTTACATTACTATAGCTGCTTCAGATTTGATATTACAAGGGATAGTTTTTACCTCTTCTGCAACACAGCTTACAAATTCTCATACATCTTATAATTATTTTTTAACAGGCAAATACGGAACAAAAGTGTGTCCTGCTTTTTTCTTAAGCGTACCATATATTTGCCTTCCCATATGGGCTGGGTTCCGAATTTATAACCAACCTTCAGTGACTCACCACGCTCCAGTCAAGGTAATATTATTGTATTTAAGTGTTGGCTACTCTTTGAAAAACTGAAATACTCATGCTGTTTCTACTAAGTTGTATAGGTCCCTTGGTGAGCGTGGAATGTACTGTAATTGTTCACTGTTATGACAATTGCTGCTGGGCTGTGTGGACAGTATAAAATTATCTATACTGCAGGACCATTTCATTATGGTGGGATAAAGAAAAAGCAAAAGAATCTCATGTATACAGTAAAAAACTCATTTCTATGTGTAATTGTATTACACCCCTCTATCTATGCAGTTTCTTTTTTTCCACTTTCTTAGCTCATGAAAATATTGACATATATCAACTTCATAAAACACCACAAAAGCCTTATAGAAGCACTGCAGGAAAATATTCTTCTGCAGATGACTTACAGATTTCATGTAACTTTTTTTGGTTTTGTATGTGCATTCTTCAATATTAGATTTTACAGGTAAGATTGTACATTAATTGATACAAAAATGATTTATTTTTTGCTTAAAGAAATCTGTAAAAATAATGTTTACTTAAAACTCCTTAGACATTTGACTTTGAATTTAATAGTTGGGCTGTCATAACATTAACTGAGCAATCAAAAAGTGCAATAACAGTATATGCACTGTTCTATAAAAAAAATTAAAAAATCACTGCAATACAAAGCACAGAACAGATCTTTAACGCTTTGTTGCTATAAGCAAGCCAGTTTATTGCCACAGCATACCATATCAGTTTTAAGTAATATAATCCATTAATATTTTTGCATTACAAGAGCTCCTGCATCTCAGTCAGGTTTATTCTGTAACTGAAAACATAAGACACTGATGAAGGAGCGAGTTCCTACTCCATAGCTAATATGCAGTCAGTGTGTAAGGGGCATAGCCTATGGCACAGAATAACAGGTGATGATACACTGACAGATCTTCCCAGAAATGTATGAAAGGGAGCATTCAGCCATCCATCCATAATTCTTCAGTAGGAAAGAGAAGTACAGACAGATGTTCATATCTCCTGAAGTTTGAAGAACCACTACAGAATCAATGCTTTTAGGGCAAATCCCTATGAAAGGCAAACTGGGGGACACTTCAGGTACCAAACCCTCTTCTACCCTCCTGTATTGGTTTATAGGAAATCACATGTGCCATCCCAGAGCAAATTGAGTTGATTTACTTAAAGGCGTCAATAACTCTGGCTGGAAACAATGTTCTTTAGAGTCATCAGGGTAGGGAAGTTAAGTGTAGTTAAAGGCAGTGATGGAGATTTTTGCCATATATATTAGTGAGAACATCCTTTGCATGGAGGATGGATGAACGTTTCAGTTTGTTTTCGTAGTACTGAGAACACCACAGAAATTGCTATTATCAAGAAAATACATGATGGACTGCTTATTTGCTGAAATACAGCCATGTCTCCTGTGCCTATCAGGAGCTAAACTGCTTACCTAGGTTTGATATTTTACTTTGGTATATATTCCAGACAAACTTAGTTTTTAAATTTTATTTCAAAAAGAGAGTGCATAAAAAGCTGGTGATCTGAAAATTTAATGTTGCACTTAGTGAATCCTTTCTTGTAAACCTAAACTTCCTTGCTCAGAAGGTCATAGAAAAGCCTTGATTACTTTCACTGGGGCCTCCTACCCTTCCCAAGTTGTTTCTTTTTTAGTGGTCGCATTTTATCTTCACAGCTAATTTATGCTCCATATCCAACCATAATTAGCTGGGTTCAATAACTGCATACCTTAAAATGCCTTTAAAACTTAACATGACTCCTCAGGAATTTTTCTTATTTTGCATACAACTCAGTCCTACATTAAGTAGTGTTTCCACAAAATAATTTGTGTAATGCTACTAATCAGTTAGGTAATCATTGTAAGTCCTGAAAACATTTAGTTCTCTTTCAATAGATCATTTGCAATTAGCTGTAAAACTGAACTGTTTTTAGCTATCATTATTCAGAGTTGGTATTAAAAGATTTAGGAAGAAAATGTAACAATGCTTTTAAACACAATGATGCAAATATATAGAGAAAATACTTACGTGAAAGCAACATAAGCAAGGTATATTCTGTTGGCCAAGGTATTCATTGCTATAATATTATTATAAACAAGTTAGTTAAAAAAAAAATCACTGTGGGGACAGAGAAGAGGTAATCAAGCTTTGGATGTTTTCTAGTGGAGGTGCATGCACAGGAGAGGAATGGAGTTATGCCCTCACTTAGAATCAGACCCAGCTGTGCTGCAGTATTTACAAAGCCCAGCAGATTTAGCTATAAGTGTATCAGCTCAGAAAAGCTTAATGTAATTTAAAATTCTTTAACAGAATTAGTACACATAAACTGAGATTTGCTCACAAATTCTGAAGGGACTGATTTCTACGGACAGCACACAAGATTATTCTGATTCCTTAAAACTGATTGTGTAAAGAGCCTCTCAGAAGTGATAGCAAATAGCTTTTTCCTGAAGTGAGAGAAATTACAAAGCATGCCTACACACTTCCTTGCTACACAAAAGAAACAACTGGGTTGGCAAGATCTGCGTGGAGTTCAATGTTGTTTGCAATAAATGGGAAACCTGCGGCAGGTCATCTCTACTTGGCCAGCGTACTTAACATATAATTTATTTTAGCACATAATGAGGTGACTTTGCTCTGTTAAGAGAAGGGTAAGGCAAAAGTACTATGTAGCTGAGGTCTGTCAGCCAAGTGCATACTGTCTTTCAAATTCTTGCTTCTGCTTTTAAGCTTTGCATTTTCATTTTGTTTGCATAAATATATGCATAGAGAAAAAAGGTACAAATTTTCTGTACCTTGGCAATTTCAAACTTGTACTGCATCAAAGGTCGTGTCCACTAACATTGCCTTTGTCTCCAAAACCTTTAAGTATGAAGTTCTGTTGTAGCTTTGTGATCACAGTAAATATGCACGTTCATTTAATATACCTTTTGAAAGGAGGAATGATACAAATATATATAAGCTTCATACTTAGACAAAAGTGGAAAGAAGATATATCAACCCTCAAACTTTCCATTATCCTTAGGTAGACTACCTCTGAAAATGACTTGCAACTCAGCAGCCATGGGAGACCTTTGTCTTTCATAGGAATAAAAATTAGAAAATACATATTCTTTGCAGGTAATATTAAACATTCCTACACTAGTACTTTAAATACCATGAAGTGACACAGGCCCAGGTCATAATTACCATTCTGCCAAAACAGACCTGTTTTGTGTTTGAAAAATAAAGATGTCACTTTTTTTCCTGAAAAAGATCGTTTAAAAGAAGAAAAGAAATCATTTTATGAAAGGGATAGCCTATGTGTTTAAAGCAGCCTTATTTTTGTTAAACTACAATGCAGATCTCACAGTTCTTACTCAGGAATTGTGCTTGCAAGATCGGTTCTCCTGTTTCAATAACTTTATTGTGAGTTATCTTGATCCTGAGTGCTTCTACATCCTAATTATTGTTTTGTGCTTTGGAGACAATTCCTCAGATGTATAACAGGAAGGAAATCAGGTTTTTCTTTTGCTGTCTGCATGCCAACACACAGCTAATAAAAAGGAAGAGGAAATGACTAACATATAAATGGGGAAGTTTTCCCTCTGAACTACAGAAAGATACTCTGAAGTGCTTATAATTTTGTCTGTGACTACACAGTGATAATAGTCTACTTCGACTTATTTCCATGGCTCTTGCAAGTTTTACCACGTAGGCAAAGAGATGACTCTGGTTCCTCCAAGCCATCTTCCATGTCAGTCATCTACATGGCCTTTGCCATTGTGGAGTGTGAACCCCTCACGTGCCCATGCAGTGCAGCGGGGGATTCCTGTTCTGAGGCTGAGGAAAGAAGGCACAGAACAGATCAGATCCAGGTGCTGACAAGTGCTTCCACACTTTGGAGGAATCCACAGTGTACAGTAATAAAAGGAGGATTTTCCACATGCTCTATATGCATACACACATTTCATTCTCTATTTCTGCATTACATATTAAGATATGTTATTTGCTCACTGAACTCAGTAGAGAACTCACCTGGCCAAAGAAAAGCTTTTATTTTATGCCAGTGATATTCCATTAATTTCCATAGCATCACAGGCTGCTGAAACTCAGCATTCACTGTCAATAATGAGATGGACCCTCATTTCACTGTCCCTCCAAACAGTCCTTTCACAAAATGTATTAGATTCAGCCTCAAATGTTTGAGACAAATGTGCATTTTCAAAGCTTTTCTATATAGAGACATTCAGGAAAATGAATTCATTCCAATTAACAAAAGATGCAACTTTGAAGTTAGTTATGCTGCTTTAAAGCTTATGGGATTGCAGAGTTAGTGTTCATTTGATTCAGGTTGCTTTGAAAGTAAGCTAATCTGTTTTGAAATGGCTTTAGTTGGATCCATTCATTTCTAGAGTTTATTCAGATTAATTTTCCTCACTGCATCCTATAAAGTCTGACATCACCTTTCTAGATGTTGCAGTCTTTCTGTTTCTGAAATCAGTGGGTAAATAGTGTAATGCAACTGAGAACTAACTGCTTCTATCACTACGTTTCACCGCTTCACCCTTCTTGTAGCAACTGATCTGGAGTTAAATACATGTCACGTGGAACCGGGATGTACTTACTAAACACACTCTGTGTTGCAGGTGGTTCAGGAAGTCCAGAAGAAAGGACTCTTAAGACGACCAATAGATTTACTGCTAGCTGCATACCTCATTCTAGCAACGGGGTTTTGCATATTTAGGGGCATGGTAAGTTGAAAATATTTTTATATTCTGGCTTCTAATTTTCAGTCAGACAAATTTGAAATCACTGTGTCTGTGTTAAAAAGTATGTAGATTTTGGTTAGGGGAAATCCTGTGACTTTCAGGGTTGAAATAGGCCTTAGAAATATAAAGAACAATTTGATTATTTATTATAATTAGTGGTGCTTTGCTTCTCCATTTTGCCTTGTGTGAAGTATGTTTTTCAAAAGAATGGAGGTGCACAATCACAAGAGTAAATAGCATCGCAAGTACAGATCAACATGACTTAAAACTATTTTCATTGATCTGGTGTTACATTTATGGCCAAGAACACGGAGACAAACAGCTAAATTAAATCTGTATTCATTTTTGTCTAAACAGAGATGCATAGTTAAAATTATATAGGAATCCAAGTTAATTTACACTGCATGAGAGCATACATTTCCACCTGAAAAAAAAAAATCCACATTACCTGAACACCACATGTTATTTCTACTTACCAAGAGCTGATTTTTTTTGTTTGTTTGCTTTTTAAGCATAGTTGATTGAATTAAAATTTCTGAGGGAATTAATCAGTACCGCAAATGCTTGAAGTAGGTAAATCCAGTAGAAGGTAAATCTAGTCCTTTGTCAGCTCTAAAGCTTTTCTGTCTTCAGCAGAAGGGAAGCTGTATATCATTCAGTGAACAGAATGTTCAAATGTTTAGGTGTCTTAGATAACTGCCTGCTTGATTTGTAGATCTGATCCTGTCTAGAATAATTCAAGTAAGAGGTGACAATAAGTACCCAAGCAACATTTTATTTACCTAGCACAGACTGTTCTTTTGTAGTTCTGCTGCTCACATTACTCTGTCATGTTCTGCTGTTTCTCTGAAAACTTGCCTCAAAAAAATTTTTCTCCTAACTTGTCACAGACTGCTTCATTTCTTACAGATCATGCTACTTCAGAGCACCACTGATGCAGGTTAATCAGCTGTTTTACCTGTAATTTCGCTGTGGGAAATGTTAATCTCATGCTCTAACATCTAACTTGGTTCAGCAATCCCACTTCTTCATTTCTCAGAGGAATTATTTTTGTTGATTTTGAGAGTGTGGTCATTTCCTTATACACTTCCTTTACCTGCTTACTGGTCTTGCTTATACACACAGAGATCAACTTAACATCTCTGTCTAAGCTGCAGTAACCATGATTTTGTGAAAAAGCTAAGAAAACATAATCCATTATAGTCCACTCAGACCTGCTTGTTGGATGCCCATGCTGGAGAAGAACAGGGAGGAATATCCACTGTTTATAAATCTTTGCATTTCCCCCTCAAAGTCACACAACAAATACACATGAAATTAAGTTGTGCAAAACATACTGTTCAGTCCTATAACTTAAGGCATTAACGATGCCTTGCTATAAAACACAATGACAGCTGTTGACAGATTGCTAACTCATTTAAGAATAGTATTTTTTGAAGTAGTTTTAAGGGCTACTATGAAAAGGAATTACTTTTACAATTGGGTCTCTTCATGTTTATTGAAATTTGTTCTTTCTATAGGAATGTAAAACCCAATAATCCCTCTTTTGCTACTTTCTTTTTAGAATTACTATTTTAAGCAACACCCATCTCACTGCATTGCTCTTCACTGCTACCTTGCCACAATGCAACTCTTTACTTGGACTACATTCATAGTTTGCTATCCTAAAATTGGGTGCTGAACATCAAGTTTCCACTGTTTGAGCAATTTTTCATTGGAAAGTTCATTTGCTGGGATCAAACACTGTTTATCAGAGCAAATCAATAGCAATTATACTTTTACTACAGCATAGCCAATTGACTGAATTCTCTTCCAGTCAAAATCTTTACAGCAGGCTGTCAGCATTTCCTAGCAAACCCTCTGAGCTGGAGCTGAGAGGAGGCTGCATTTCAGCATTTTAATTGGTGATCAAATTGATCACATTTGCAATAGATTTTGAGCAAGACTCCAGGGTAGCAGTGCTGCAAACCACTAGTCAATCTTTAGGGCTGGTAAGAAGTATCAGGTTAGTTTGTTGTAGAACAAATTCTTTGTTCACAGGAAGTTTTAAAAATTCTTCTTAGA